CCTATTCGCTTTTCTTTGTGCTCTTTGTATCCTTTTCTTCATAAGAGTGGAATTTGTGGAAAACAGCCGGCGTTTGTTGTGTTGTTGTGTTGAGGCTGCTTTGTGCTCTGAAGGTCATTGTCTCACCTGGATGCTTTGATCACAACAATACCAACCATAGCGTCCTTTGTTTTGCACTTGCACGATCAAGGACTGTCGATTCGTCAACGAAAAGCTTCACAATCTCGCAGCTGGTTTGCTTGATCTATACTGAAACGATTTTCATCTGCTACACCAGTCCGTCTACGGTAACTTGGCCTACTCCAACCCCCTGACTGCTGTGTTACTGAAACCAGCCAACTGATGATCTGGTCTAGTATAAGGCAGTTTTTGGGCCACGCAGGCCATACGGCCCCCGAGATGCAGAATTCGACAGCAGGACTACGAATTCCTGCAGCTCCGACTTTCCCTTTGTCGTCTCCTATCACAGAGGAGATTCCGAGCCCGGTGCCATCATCTCCAGAGGATCATGACATGGAAAGAAATCGACCTTTTGCTTTTCTGAATAAGACAACACGCAGGAATAACCCTTTTATACGCGAAGGAAGCTATGATAAGCACACACAGTCACAGGAAGCAGTGAATGGGACGGGGGTCTCTTATCAGACGGATCCGAACCAAGAGGACCTAAACAATCTTGGACTCTACACGGGAAAAAGCTCAGAACGGCCTGTTGGGTTGAGTTTGGTTACGGACTTCTCTCATTCTACGTCAAAGACACCTGAAGATGGATCAGTGCCAACTTTAATGGATTTAAATGACCTAAAAGTCCTCTCTGAGGTGCGAGAACAGGAAAGGAACGCACATACTTTGAAAGGGATATTGAAGAAAGTTCCTGGTCAGGACTATGACCAATCGTCCGTGAAACCGTCCGTATTTGACAGCAAACGACTGTCTTACTTCAACATCAGGCGAAAAAAGAAGGCAAATGACGATCTGTCGCCATCGGATCGGCCGATTATGATTGGACTAAGCATGCCATCTGATGAATCGCTAAGCACTCAAGGAAGAGGGCTAACAGTAAACACTGGACATGCCCAACGAGCGGCACTGACCCCGTCTATAATTGTGACTCCGGCAAAGGAAGACACATTCTGGACCGGCCTTGACACGACTCATCCTCGTCCTAGGATAGCATCTAGCATTTACTCTCAACCAACGCCGTACCCCGATGACAATGACAGTGACATTAACATTCCGCCTGTGCCGGCTATCCCGAATCTTGCCTTCTTGGAGCAGAATGAGAATTCGAGCACGAACATGAACACTGAATCGACACGAAGGCAATCTGTATTTGCAACAGGGAGACAGCGCTCGCTCTCAACTGGCACTCTGTTTGAAGAAGATGATGTGCGACGGGAGAGCCGGTCTCGGTCATATTCTAGCGGGAATCCCAAGAAGATTCCAGATAGATTAAGCATCAACACTGAATCAAACAGGCATCAATCCCAAGGTTGGTGGACCTACTTGCTCTCACCGTTGTTGAGTCGCTACAGCACAGCCATGGGTCCCACCACCCCAACTGAGACTGCTAGACCACCAATTCCCAGTATCGCAACGGAGTCAAAGGCATCGAGTGATGAGTGGTGGGAAAAGGAAGTATCCAGCTTTTCGCCCGACACGCCAGAAGCCATAATACCTCACCACAAGGAATTGACACCTGATTGGCCAGACGCTGGTCTGAATCCCTTTGACGAGAAAAGACTGAGTGATCAAGACCAACCTGTCGAACGAGAGCGAGATACCACATCCTTTATGTTCCCGGGAAGGCCAATCCAGGGCTCTGCGGCTGAGTACTACCAAGCTTGCGCACATGAATTGTTCAGTGGACGGCCTTACTTTGAATGCGTCAACCATGTCTGCTCTATAACACCCAAAGACAAGATTCCCGGCTATACCGAGGGTATAGCTGTAAGCTCCTCAGACAGTAGGGGTCTCCTGATCGACGTGGGAGACATGCCACAAGATAAAGGCACTGGCTCGACAGGTGGTCCCACTACCTCAGAGACACGCACTGTGTATGAACCGAGTGTAATGGATAAGGGAGTAGAGGCCTCTCTTGACAATCGTCAGGACAATGACCCAGTTGGGAAAGCCAGCTCAAGGGGGATACCTCTGTCTGAGCATCCGACAATCCAACCTCCTCCAACCCTGCGTCCTCTGAGCGAGTATCCTCCGAGCGAGTATCCTTCGAGCGAGCATCCCCCGAGCGAGCATCCCCCAATTGAGCATCCTCCCAGCGAACATCCTCCGAGTGAGCACCCTCCGGCTGGAGGACCTCCTGGAAACACTCCAAATCAGCCCGTTTCTGATGATGTGTCGCGGGGGTTGCCTCAAGAAACATTTCCAACGCCGCATGCCGGAGGAGAGACAGGAGAATTAGCACCGCCTCCAGACAGTCAATATGAAAGGAAAACATCTTGGCCGATCTTTCAGCCAATCATTCAACCAGTGGTCCAACCAGCTCCTCAGCCAGCACCCCAGCCAGCCATTCAACCCATAATAGTGCACGCTCCTCAACCGCTTGCACAACCAGCGCCTCCAGCTCAGGCTATCCATGTCCATCCCGCTACTGTTCCATCGCCAATTCTCATAGCACCCAATGGACACCAGCATCCATCATTCCCTCAGGAACAGCAGGCTGAACCGCAGCCTCCTAACCCTACGTCTCCTGGCCTTCAGCAAGCCACCGAGAGGGCTGGGTCAATCCCGTTATCCGACATGCATACTGCTCCAGCGCCTGCATACACATCCAATCACAACAGCTCATCTACCCCAGTGCCTGCATATGCTTCTCACTACACTAGCTCCTCTATACATCGCATGGAGCCCCATCCACTCTCACGAGAAGAAGTGTCACATACCACCACAGAGAGAGAGATAATCGAGATACGACGGAAAACGTTAGAGACAGAAGACAAGAAGAAAAAGAAAAAGAAGTTTGGCTTGTTGTTCTGCTGTTGCTGTTGCGGTGGTGATCGGTCTCACAAGAACGGCTGTTTCGGTAGGAAAGACAAGAAGGAGAAGAAGGTCAAGCGTCGGTGGTACCTGGCTATTCTCACATCCTTCCTCATCATCATAGCAATCGTCCTCCTCCTAGTCATGACCTTGACAGGAAAAGGCGACTCAACTCCTGTGGAATCACAGTGGCTCAATCTCACCGGCTATCCACCGATGCCCACCGGTATCGCAACGATTGCCGGACCAAAGCCTCAGGTCCAGCAATCAGGATGCATAACTCCATCCACGCTCTGGAGCTGTGCTCTACCACCAGGGGAACAATCCGCCAACGAGCCCTACGCCGCCAATGAGCCGAACTTCCGTGTGGAAATCCGATTCCGCAACGGTACCTACCCTAACAGCACCACGATTGCCACAAGATCCAGCAAGACCCTCTCCTCACGGAGCTCCGACAACCCCTACAGCCCATCCCCATCCCCGCCAAGCATGAAAGACCAGACCTTCCTCGGCAACACAACAGACAACAACACCGTCCCCTACGCTGGCGAAGAAACCCCTTTCTACATGACCTTCCTCTCCGCCAGCACCCTAACATCGACATCCACCCTTCGCCTGGCGCGAAGATCCTCCGACAGCTCCTTCCCCAATCTCGCAACAATAATCCCATCTCCAGACGAAGACTCCGATGGAACCGCCGCCGCCGCAGACCTATACCCATTACCCTCTTCCCAACCAGTCCGCCTCTACAACCGCGGCCTCAACACAGAACACTACGGCTTCTACACCTACTTCGACCGCTCCATCTTCCTCTCCTCCCTCGCCCCCCTCGACGGCAACACAACCGACACAAACCCCAATGACCAAAACGGCGGATCCAACGAATCCGACGCCCGCGTCCGCTGCACATGGTCACAGACCCGCTTCCTCGTCCAAATCTGGACCCGCTCCAACGACACCCTCCTGCAGAACTCAACCTCCACGTCCACAGCATCAGCATCCACAGCAACCGCAAGTGCTACACCAACGACCACGCCTTCCTCCGCAAATGACTGGACCCGCCCCGGATCCTTCCCTTACCCTGTCACCATAACTCTAGACCGTCATGGCGGGGACGCTGTGAAGAAAATGGTCTATTGTTACGGCATGGAGAGCGGCGAGCAGATCAACTCGACGGAAGTCAAGTTGCAGCTCGAGGATCGATCGTACGGTGGCACGCTGGTTAACCCGGCCCCGGGGATTTTTGATCTATATGGGAATTCGTCGACGGATGCCACGGGGGATTATGGAGGCGTTGATGGTGGGAGTGGCGGGTGTGCTTGTAAGTGGGCGAATTGGGTATCGAGTTCGTAGGATGGATGATGAGAGATTAGTGGAAGGAAGGGGAAAAGATAAATGATGATTTGTTGACTTCTGATTGTTTTTCTGAAATGATGATTGCATATAACGCATGGTTGTATTGGTTATGGGGAGTAATGACTCGAAGACGATAAGATGCATGCAGTATAAAATAGATGCAGAAGTATGAATAAAATAGATGAAATTGTTTCCTTTGTTTTTTTTTCTCTTATTCCATGTTTATTCCCTTGAGAATTACGATTATTTTGCTGAATGCATGTTCCTATTGGACTGAATGAATTTATGAATTTCACCAAAGTCTAATACACAATCCTTGAAACCTGAGTACTCCAGAATCCGAAGTAAGAAATGGAAAATATGATAAAACGCCGTATATACCTCTAGTATAGAAATCCAATTCCAACGAAGGGATATTCTGGTATTCTCATCCAGAGTACAATATCGGACTTCAACAAGAGCATAGTATATATTATTTTGTATTGTGAAGGACAAACACCTGGAATTAATCAACAAGCAAGCCAGAAATAGATGTATCATAAGTGAGCGAAGCGATCCACTTCTCGTCAATGATTGTTGTTAGTCTTTTATAGGGATTCTGGGCGTGAAAAAAAAAATTAAAAAATAAACCTGCCCACTTCGCTGTATTGCATTTTCTATATTGATTTTCGGGGGCAGTCGTCTTGCCATCACGCAGTCTAGTGATGCATGATATCGAAAGAAGAATCAGAAGAGAAGACAGCAGCAATGTCAATTAAGCCAAGACAAGCAAGCCCATGGCGATGCTTCCGACAAGAGCAAGGCCGGGGAGAACCATCTTGGCACCGGAGCTGGACGAGATGAATCCCGTGGAGGTGGGTGCAGCAGGAACAGTAGCAGCGCCGCCGCCGCCGCCACCGCCTCCAGAGGTGCCGGTAGAAAAGGACCCTGAAGAGGTAGTCGAGTTGGAGAACCGCTGCGATGAAGTGGTGCTGGCGTTGCCACTGGCGGCCGGGGGAATGCTGGCAGGAGGAGCACTGGTCACGGCGGGGTTCGATTCGATCGGTGCTGGTTGGACGCTGGCAGCAGCTGGAGCGCTCGTTTGAGCGGCCTGTGTCTCCCCTGCGGAGGTCTTGATGAGCGGGACGCTCGTTTGAGCAGCGGTGCTAATTGCCTGGGTAGCCGGGGCGCTGGATCCAACAGCGGCGGACTCGGTGTTGGTGGCTACTGGAGCGCTGGATTCAGTGGCAGCGGGATGAGACTCGGTAGCGCTGGACTTGATGACTGGGACGCTTGTCTCGGAGGAGGCAGAAGCTGGAGCACTGGATGCGGCAATGGGAGGGGGGTGCTGGACAGCAGATTCAGTTGCAGCACTGCTGGGCTCCGCGGTGACGACGGCGGTGGCTTCGACGGTACTTTGGGCGGCCACTGTTGTCACTTGGCCGTCGTCACTAGCGGACTGGGCTGCGTGGGCAGTGCCGGCAGCGAAGGCCAGAGCGGTCACGACGTGGGTTGAGTAACGCATTGTGAATGGAAGAGACTTGGGAGAGAAAGAAGAAGAAAGAGATCTATCGCGGTACAAGCAGCAAAACTGAGCGTCAAGAAGAAGGATTGGAAGGTAGAGAATGAAGCATGACAACGCAGACGGATCGAGCTGGATCTCGAGGTTCTTTATAGCTTTCCTTGATGTACCGTTCCGGTACTACCATCATTGCCTGACAGTCGGTTTAAACTCCGGGACAAGTGCTTCTTCATGGTGTTATCCACGAATCGCAAGAGGTTTAGGGATCCGGATGCCGTAGTGTGGGAACGAACGTGGGAAGCTAGGCACTGCTTCCGGACTAGATCGAACAGATTGGATCTCAAAATAGCACAGCTGCAACCCAAAGCATTGACAGGCGCCCGGATCTAGATAAACTACTCCTGCTGGTAGCAGATCCAACTGGGGCTCTTCCCAGTGTCATGTGACTTGAAGCTGCCACCCCAGGGCTTCCTAAAAGGGAAGTCGAGTGGCCGGAATCAGCCACCTGAGGAATGTTGATCCATTCCTCGACGATCTGTAGCCCTGCGAAGAGAACAGTATCTTTGAACGCATTTAGGAAGTGCAATGAGGATGCAGCAACCTCTCAATAGACGGAAGCATCCCTAGGATGCTGCTACGTCAACCTCACCACGTTGCAGTCTCGACTGTGGCATGTTTCGCAAGCAATGTGTCCCCGGATGTTTCACACCTAAATGTCGATCGATCAGTAGCTCAATCTAGCGGCTTCTTGGTGTATCTCAATTAGTGACCCGGTCGTCTTTCGTTAGTCTTGTTAGTCATTGAAAGCGCAAGTTGTCGATTGTTGGGAAGAGCGTTGCAACTGCAGCTTTCAGTACTACCAATGCTGGGACTTAGCGACAGACAGGCACTAAAGACTCTTCAGCAACAGGGTTCTCGCTCAAGGCTCCTGCTTGTGCTAGCCAGCCTTTCATTGTTTGTCTGTCTCTCTGAATGCTCGATAGCTCCTTTGTAGTTCTGTTCTGTTTCTGGTTCTCAAGTGCAAGCTGTCAACCCATCAGGGGAGGGGAGGCATAATTCAGACATGATGGCTTCAGTACTCAAATTAGCCAGTTGTTTTCAAGACAGATACCAATGCCTTGAAGGATGACTTCTGTGTGAAGCTTCAAGTATGGAGGCCACTGATCACTATCCACAGGAACCCTTTGGCAGAGCGGCGAGGAGTAGACGACATGTAGACATCCCTCAAGATAGATGGATAGGAAGTGGTCAAGCTATCATATAGATCAAGCTTCATACATGGACAAAATTTTCCGTCAACTCAGAGGTAAGTCTTGATAGTTATACAAAGTCGAGCACATCCATGGTGTGGAGAGGACAGAGATGAGCTGGACCAGTGGTTCACATTCGGCACCGGCCCGGAGATCCGCCGATCGCCGCCCCCTCGAGGTCAACTAATCCATGATTCCGCCATCCTTTATCATCCCCCAAGACCCTTACTATTTCCCTTACCAACACTTCATACGTGTCGCCATACCGGCTCCAAGGTCGGTCGGTCCCTCCTCCGTGCATCTGCACTCCGGCCTCATGCCACCACCCGTCACCCATGCCTCTCCGACGCAACATTCCCACCTCCGCCCTGCTGTCTCCCGGCGACTATGACGAAGATGCCGAGTCGCTACGTTCCCCGTCAGAGCAGGACTCTGACTCGGAGGACGACGAGTTTCTTCGGAGATCACGCACTACATTAGAGCTTGCTGAGCACGATCGCACAGTACTGGAAGAGGAAGAAGAAACAGAGAAACTGCTTACCCGAACCGGTCCAACTCATGGCCTTCGCCGCATCTTCAGCCCCAGCAGCAGTAGTGTTCGCATCGGAAAACAGGAACGCAGGCGACAACGCCAACAGGCCCGAAGAGAGGCCCGCAAAGAGCGTCGTAAGAAGGCGCGTGGATCCGGAGAGATAATGTTCGAGATGGAAGAGGGTCACCGGGACGATGAGCACTCTCTCCTGAGCGCATCTTCGTCCGACTTCGACACACGCGTCAAAGAATATGCTTTTATGCAGGTATGGATGTCACACAATAACCTCTCATGGGTTGTGCGGGAGCTCCAGTACTGATTTATGGTAACCAGCCACGGCGCGTTCCATGGCGCAGACTCGCCCTCGTATTCTCCGCTATCTTTATCCTTCTCCTCATCTTCTTACTGGGCGCATATAAAGCATCTATAAAGTATCGAGCCCCTCATTCCTCGCGGCAACTTCTATCTAATGGCACTGCGTTGTTCGCCCCCACGACGATCTTGATCTCTCTAGATGGTTTCCGAGCGGACTTTCTCACTCGTGGCTTGACCCCAACCCTCCGCTCATTCATTGCAAATGGCGTCTCGCCGCAGTACATGCTACCCAGTTTCCCGAGCGTGACCTTCCCGAATCATTTTACACTTGTTACGGGACTGTATCCTGAGAGCCACGGAATCGTTGGAAATACCTTCTGGGACCCGGAGCTGCAGGAAGAGTTCTACTATACCCACCCGTCCGTCAGCATGCAGCCGAAATGGTGGAACGCGGAGCCCCTCTGGATGACGGCCGAGAATCAGGGCGTGCGGACCGCTGTTCATATGTGGCCGGGCTCCGAGGCACATATCGGAGGCGTAGATCCAACCTACCTAGACGAATACAACGGGTCCGAAATGCTTTCCTCGAAAGTGGAACGCATCTTGGGATTGTTGGATATGCCGGGAATAGAAGCGGAGTCAGACATTGCGCCCCAAAGGCCTCAGTTTATTGCTGCCTATGTTCCGAATGTTGATGCAGATGGACATAACTACGGTCCCAACAGCACTGAAACTCGCAACACAATCGCTAAGGTGGACGACATGCTTGGCAGCCTATTCTCGGGTATCGAAGCACGCAATTTAACGGATGTCGTGAACATCGTGATTGTCTCTGACCATGGCATGGCGACAACCGCGACCGAGCGATTGGTTCAGTTGGAGGACCTGGTTGATCTTGATCTAGTCCAGCGCATCGACGGCTGGCCGTTACGCGGGCTGCGTCCCAAACGGCCAGAGGATCTCCCAATACTCCAAGATCAGCTGGAGAGCGTGGCCGCGAACTATTCGCATGCGGTCGAGATCTACACACGTGAGGGCATGCCTGAACGCTATCACTTTCAAAACAACGATCGCATCGCCCCTCTGTGGGTAATTCCAAAGACAGGGTGGGCAGTTGTCGAGCGTGCCGACTTTGATGCCCAGAAGGCCTTGGAGAATGGGGAGGTCTACCACCCCAGAGGCATTCATGGATATGACCACGAGCACCCCTTGATGCGGGCAATTTTCATCGCCAGGGGACCCGCATTCCCCCATGAACCAAACAGTCGGTTGGAAGCATTTCGTGAGTCATCCCCGACCCTTTGTCACGCGGAGTTGGATTTGAGCTAACCAAGGTAGAAAACATCAATGTGTACAACATTATCTGCGACTCACTCGGGATCACCGCGCACCCGAACAATGGGACGATGCGTCTGCCTCTCAAGACGATAGGCCTTCACTCTGACGAAGACACGCCCACGCTGGCCAGTGTTCCAGACCCTCCAGTTTCTAGCACGACCGCCACTATGACGCCAACGATGATGCCGTCGGCAGAGATTACCTCTTCTGCGTCCCCGACGGAAACGGCGCCTGAAGCTCAGCCCGAGCCTGACCCGGAAAGCGAGGATGAGAAGGGTCCTACCTGGTGGGGGACCCTTTGGGACAAACTCCAGGAAGCGAAGGAGTGGGCGACCGACATATTCGACACCGTGAAAGACAATTTCACCGGATCGTGATCATAGACATAGAACGAGTGGCTGTGACATTGTTTTCTTTGCTTATTGGTTTTCTGGAGCTCTTACTGTTGGTTGTTTTTGCGAGGCGCGACTTTTTCTTAGGACGGTGGGCCATAACCCATGAATACGTCATAATCAAGATACCCACATTTGGATTTTACAGACTAGGATTGAATACAAGAAAAGGCATTATTGGTTCGCAGGGAGATGTCCCCGAAGAAGATGGGGATGCGGCTGAAGTGGAAGAATCCACACGATCGCCGGCTGAGTTGCTGGGATTGGCGCCCGCCTGCTTCGGACTATGACTCAAGTGGCTCCCCGTCAGCTGCGCATTCCACTGCGCCAGTCACTTCCTTCGTTGGGCGCCGTTCGTCAGTTACACATTGACCTACACGATGGGTCAGAGGCTCGCTCTAGATCCTGCTCCTATCGCTCGGTGCAGATGGATGCCTACCAACCCCACGATGCCACGGCTTGTCAGCCTTCCTGCCTGGCGCATTATGGCTGGGGATAGAACTATAAAGAGCTCATTCTCGACAATAGGAGCCTTCCATGTCAATTGATTGCAACTTTCCTTCGGCGTTAATTTCCATTTCTCTCTTATAGAGCTGCCGGATAATTGCATATTGTTGTTATTTGCCGCTAAAGACCATTGATTTTCAAGGTCAACTCCGCGCCCACGGCATTGTTAGCATTGCTGGACTTCTATACAGTATATCAATACCCCACGGTTACGAAACCCTCATCATGGCTTCAAGCGCCTTTCTCAGCAACACCATCAACAACACTCCAATCATGAATGCAACATCTTCCTCACAGTATATGAATCCTTCCGACAGCGCGATGCTGGATATGTTCATTCCGGGGTACTCCTTCATATCCCGGTTTCTAATATCATATTTACACATCGACCTCTCCCAATATATTCCCACGATTTTGACGGCTGTGGCTTTTGTTGCTTCACTGCGATATGTGTTCTTCCGCTCACATGAGCTGCTAACCGACTATTGTGTCTCAACCGCTGAGATCCGCCTCGAGGATGAAGTGTACAACTACCTGATGTTCTGGATGGCACAACACCCTGCTATGCAAACGTCCACTCAGTTCGTAGCCAGCACCAAGGTCTCCAGCGGCGCACGATACTACGACTCTGACGACGAGGGTGACCTGGATGACGAAGATGAATACGACGAGAACGGCAATGTCGTCTCCGACTTTGACGACTACTGGGCCAAGACCGTCGCACGAGACAAGTTCAAGCGCCTCCGCTTTACCCCAGCCGAAGGAAGCCATTACTTCTGGTTC